ACTAATACAAGGATGAGAGGGGTAGATATTCACTTTGGATTTCTATTTTTTATATTGATTCCCAACATCTATCATTTGAGGTTTGGAACGATCAATTTTTTATTCTTTTTCCTGCTTTTGTTTTCTCAGTCTGGATCAGAATGAAGAACACTGGGTCAGACCACAGCTTCTGAACAAATGTAAGTTTTTTTAAACATGTAATTTCCTTATCAGACATTATTTATCTGTTTAACTCTGGTCTTTTCCTTCTTAGATGCCTGTAATTTGACCTTTGACATCAATACAGCCAATGAACACCTTATCCTGTCTGAATGTGGCAGACAAGTTTCTTTAACAAAGGAGAAGCAAACTTATCCTGATCATCCTGACAGGTCTGAATGCAGGGGTCAGGTGCTGTGCAGAGAGGCTCTATCTGGACGCTGTTACTGGGAGGTGGAGTGGAAAACAAGTTTCGTGAACGTTGGTGTTGCCTTTAAGAATGTTAAGAGGAAAGGATGGGACGCAGAAATACTAAGGAGCGATGAAACCTGGTTATTTTATAATTATTCATCAAGCGGTTTCTCATTTCAAAACAGACATCAGGCTGTCTTCCTTCCACTCCCATTTATTGATGTTAAAGCATTCATGGCCCGACCCATGAGACTGGGCATATTTCTGGACTCAACTGCTGGCATTCTGTGTTTCTATTGGCTCTCTGATGACACAAGGACTCTGCTTCACACGTTCCACTCAACTTTTACTGAGCCTGTTTATCCTGTATTAAGTATTCTTGGAGGTTCTCTTACCCTGCCAGCTGTTGAAAAGCTGGAAATGGATCATGTGAGTCTTTCTGGTCATAGAACCCAAACTAAAGCTGGAATAATGGAGATGTTTCCTCATATAGACTGTCCTCTGTTCAAGGTTCCATTGGGCTTCACGCCTGAGGTCAGCAGAGAGAGAATCGGTATCTCTTACAGGTACAGTAAGACACCCATTTCTGCATCTGTTGATGAATTCCATGATCTACGATTTAAAATAACGTCAATCAATATTTTAGGCTTCTTACAAACCTTTTTACAGAGGAAAATGATTCAATTGAATGAACAAACGAAATAACATAAAATTTAATTCAGTGGACAAACTTGAAAAAGTCTACACACTTTTCCTAAGACTGACAAGAAAGTGAATAATTCTGACATGTGTTCCTCCATCATTTAGTGATAGAAAACCCCTCAAAATCACACAAATAAATTGAATCCCAGTAAATCCACTGATACCTGGGACTGTCAATGAGACATCTTAACCTCTCCTCATGTTCATTCCTTGTAAGCGAAATGCTCCAGTTGTCTCAGGTATGAAGGCTGCCTTTTACAGAAAGCCTTTTTTCAGCTCCATTCAAAGATGCTGAACAGGATTTAATTTAGGTTTCAGATAAGACCACTTCAGAGGAGTTGCAATGTTTTCCCCTTGGCCAGCCTTGGCTGCTTAAAATAATAAAATAATTCTCTCTACAATCCCTTAATAGTCTTTAGAATATTGGAAGAAATTCAGACTCCCTGTGCCAGATGATGCAAAGCAGCCCCAGAGCATAACATAGCCTCCTCCATGTTTCACAATAGGGACAGTCTTCTTTTCTTTATATTCCTCATTTTTCTATCTTTGAACATTGGCCTATGTGCCTTGGCAAAAAGGACCCTTTTTGTCACATCAATCCACAGAAATTTCTCAGAGGAACTTTATGGTTTGTCAACATGTACTTTGGCAAATTCAAATGTTTTTGTTTTTTTTCCTTTTCAACAATGGGGTCCTCCTTTGCCATCTCCCATTGAGTCCAACTTGGCTCAAACAACTAAAGATGATGGTCTGACTCTGATGGTCCTTGTGCTTGAAGTTCACCTATAATCCTTTTAGAAGTTTTTCAAGGCTCTTTTGTTACCATACCTATTATCCATCTTATTAATTTATTCCCCTCCTGCTGCCATGTCCAGGGAGGATGGCTAAACTCCCAAAGATGTTACATTTATAGAAATGTGCAAATACAGTCACAGGAACGTCAAGCTGCTTGCAGATGGTCTTTTAGCCTATACCTTTAACTTTCTTCTTTTTTTTAATTGCTTTATTATAATTATGCAGGGAGTTTTACAGATTATATGGACACTGCAATGTAAATAGAACAGAAGAGGAAAAACAGGAAAAAAAAGGAAAAAATATGAGAGAAAGAGGAGATAAAAGAGAAATAATGAAAAAACATTTTCAGTCTGCTTCATCACCTGCAAAGAGATGTAAAAAGAACAGCACAACCAACAGGCATGGTAGGAGACATACAATAAAGTAACACCTAGATACTATCGCTGAGGTAGTATTATTTAATCTAACATGTACTCTGTGTTACTTGAAGATAAGAATATGGGTTTTCTGTATGGAAGTGAATCTCTAAGAAACCTGGAACCAAGCTCCCATTGTTATTTGTGAAAGTGCACTTGTGCCTGTAAAGTTTATCCAAAGAAAAAATGCTCAATAGTGGTTGTGGAGAGCCGAAGAGGCGCCCCCCCAGAGTACTGAGTCCAGGGCCGGGAGACCCAAAGCCCCAGGTGCCCAAAGGGACCCCAAGAGCGAAGGCACCAAGGAGGGGCTAGCCCAGGAAATCAGACCCCGACCAAGGGAGGAGGAGAGAGTTTCCATACTTCCATACTTGGCAGACAACACATTCACACATAACACTCACATCCAATAATACCAGTACCAAAAACCCAGCGACACCGGTGGTGGGTCCCGGGATTATCGGATAACCCAATAAGTTAACCTAAAATCCGGATGGGGTGGAGGGGGGCGGTGGCACCGCCACACCAACCCATCTCGTTCCTGCTTCGCGCCCGGCCCCCCACCCTGCACCCGGACAAAACCCCCCAGCAAAAGCTCCCCCGGGATCGGGAGTCATCAGCGCCAAGATCATGACAAAACATCGTTGTGTTTAGGAATGCTGCTATTGAGTTTCAAGTAGGAAAATGTTGGAAATAGGTGTTAAAGGGATAATGATATGAAAGGCTTTATGATCAGGTATGGGTGAGGGAAGAATCAGTCCTTGATTGACTTGATAAAGATTTGTTAGACTAGGTTCTGCTTTATTTGATGGGGGAAAAAAACAAACTTTTTATTAAAAAACTGAACGCATTTTACGAGAACTCTTTTAATGTTGCTATAAACTGTTTTTTTATATGAGATTCTAACCAAATGTGTAGTGAAAGGTGTTTGCCACTTGCTGTACCATCCTTCTTTCATTGTGCGCTCAGATTGGTAATTATGTGCAGAAATTGGCTTTCAAAATGTTGGAAAATGCTGTGTTTTGACTCACACATGTTTAGCTTGTTATCTTCGTCATGCACACACCCCCATACAGTCGGCCAGGATATTGAATACAAGTCGACCAATAGGGTCGACTGGGTCAAGAAAGCAAGATAAGAAACTTTTTTTTTTTTTTTTTTTATATTGTCAACAATCACTGTTTCTGTTTCAGCTTCCAGTTTCCAGGCTCAGGTCTGTATCGATGTTCTCTGACTGGTCTGGTGTTCAGAGTGACCCATAAAGGGGAAGTGATGTACAGGACGGAGATTTGGGACGACATGCTCCTGCAGCTATCTAATAAACAGCCTGGGGGACCTCTGTTCAGCATCCAGTGCCCTCAGGACTGCATCAGTGAACTGCAGCTGCCACACTGTGAACCAGAACCAGGTAAACCGTCTCTGAGTTAACTCTGATAAACTGCCTCAGATTCCTCCTGTTTCTCCAAAATGGACCTCTGCTTCTGTTGTCTCCCAGCTCTGGTGTCTGACTGCCTCTATGTTGGCCACATCACTGATGATGGGATGAGCATCATTCAGCCGCTGAAGGTCACAGAAACCCACGTGGCTGTAAGAGTCCCTCACCTGTCTGGCTTTGGCATCATATTGGACCGTATCAAAAAGATAAAGGCCCACCTGATGAAGCCGATTCGGGGCCAAGTTCTGCTGTTCCTGAGACACCTGCATCGACCTCTCAACATCCTCAGTGTGATTCTGCTGCCGAGCAACGTTCCTCTGCAGGATGTAAAGCTTTACCCCAATAATTTTAAACTGACTTTAGCTGTATATTTCTAAACAAATGGTTCTGATTTGAAGGTGAAAGAGCAGCACACAGACTCCAAGTTCATCCAGGCTCCGTCCTTCAGTTTCTTCCACAAGGGCAAAACGTACAGCCTCCATAGCGACCCAGATGGCTTTACAATCCAACCTAAAGTGAG